AAGGCCAGGAGCCCCTAGTAGCGTCCTTGCTCCTAGTAGTAAGGCCAAGAGCCCCTAGTAGCGTCCTTGCTCCTAGTAGTAAGGCCTCGAGCCCCTAGTAGCGTCCTTGCTCCTAGTAGTAAGGCCAAGAGCCCCTAGTAGCGTCCTTGCTCCTAGTAGTAAGGCCAGGAGCCCCTAGTAGCGGCCAGGAGCCCTAGTAGCGTCCTTGCTCCTAGTAACCTAGTAGTAAGGCCAGGAGCGCCAAGTAGCGTCCTTGCTCCTAGTAGTAGGGCAAGGACGCTACTGGGGGGTGCTGGCCTTACTAGTAGGAGGAAGGACGCTACTAGGGGCTCCTGGCCTCCCTACTAGGAGCAAGAAGCTACTAGGGGCTCCTGGCATCGCTACTAGGAGCAAGGACGCTAATAGGTTGGAGGCTAAAGGCTGGAAGCGAACGTCGCTCTTCCGATGCCAGGTGCTGACCTGGTCGGACTCACGTGATTTGCACGGGAAGGCGCACCTGGAATGCGGGATCGAACGGAACGTCATCTCCTATTTAAAACATTTTATTGCTGTGTTCGTTTTACAATTACAGACCTTTTGTCCTTCCGCTTTTCTGTTCTTCAAGAAACTTCCAAAAAACAAGACGGGGTTTTCAAAGGGGCTTCCAGGTGTCCTTTTCTTTTGGCAGCGTTGGCAGCTATCATTTGTTTCAGGTCCTGGTACTTGTGTTGAGTCGCGTCTGGATTCGTTTCCATGCGAGTTAGATGCAAGATGGGTAAGCTTCGGAGTCATATTTACAACATTGGTTGATATGATACCATGTGTGGGTCCATATGAGGGACCGATCCCTCCAAACGATGAGGGTCCAGGAGTGTCTGGGCAAGAAATCAAGTTGTTACTTGTCACGAATGAAACACGCCGGCCAGGGGCTCCTGGCCTTACTACTAGGAGCAAGGACGCTACTAGGGGCCCCTGGCCGTACTGCTAGTAGCGTTCTTACCACTAGTAACAAGAAGCCCCTACAAACGAAGGCTTCCAGCTTTTTGAAGCACAATACCTTCAATGCAAGACCTCCGGCGCCAATTGGGTGCCAACCCAATTCGTGCATGTGCATCGGCGACCCGAACACCAGTTGTCTACAAAAGGTGAAGTCCGTATTCATATATTTGATACGTTATCTGTCAGGATGACCTGCTGAATGATGGAATAAAAACCCGGGCAGACTGGAGGGCTTTTGTGGCAAGAAATCTATTGGACAAAGCCTTGCCCCGTCATAAGCAATCTGAAAATATCACTCATTATCACTCAACCAGTAGTCTCGGAATCCAACCTTGCAAAAGAACAGGTCACATGGAAGTCTGGAAAAATGAGAAAACACAAGAACATGAACATGTGAATAAACTTAAAAAAGAAACATCAAAACAACACACATTTGTTGGTTTTCAGACCTCCGTCTTTCTTGGTCACGCCAGCATTTCCTTAAATGTGATTTTTTACAAGTCAGCAAAGTAGTAGTAGTAGTAGTAGTCGTAGTAGTAGTAGTAGTAGGAGTAGTAGTAGTAGGAGGGCCAGGAGCCTCTAGTAGCGTCCTTGCTCCTAGTAGTAAGGCCAGGAGCCCCTAGTAGCGTCCTGCATGTACTGTAGTTGTATGAGTGGCAAGACAAGTCTAGTCTAGTTGTCATCGTTTCGAGTCGAAAGGAGGATAGCGCCTTGGCCGTTCTTGACGAGGACGCGGGTCACAGCCAGTTGTGAAGCTTTTGAAGTTGTCCGGGTTTGATAAAGAGCCATGAGAGAATCGTCAGATCAAGGTGAAGAGACCACTCAAGATACAGTCATGGATAGGTGTCCTTGTAAGAAGATCCTTTCAAGTTGTCAAACTTCACCTTTGCATGGCTGTAGCTGAAGCCTTCAGGACATTGTTTTCATTGATGAGTGGAGGGAAAAGAAGCAGTGGCTCGCGTCTGAGCCAACCTTTTCAGGTATGAGTTGAGGAACTCCGAGGAACTAACTGTGTATCTTAGAGAGCACACATGTCCCATATATACTCTTTACACTCTTTACACATGTCCCTGCAAAACTCTTCAACAACTTTTTGTTAGCCCATCCTGGTCTGTCCACCGTCCGTGCCCCAGGTGCCGCATTCTCGAAGAGGCCGAGTCTCCTAAGCAGGTCGGGCATAGCACGATTGCTGGGTATCCGACGGAAGTTTTCCGGAGCACGAGCATCACGCACTTTCCGGAGCATCACAATTGCAGTACCTCATTCACCTCCATCAGCGGACCTCAGATCTCAGATCTTGGCGACCTGAATCAGTGACCTCCAGATATACAGGTCCTCGTTCACCAGTTTTTGTAAGATGTGTTTGTTTTGTCTTTCGACCGGTTTGCTCTCACTGCACAGGAAGGTCGAGCATCCCTGGGGTGGGCCTTGCTGCGGTTGAGACGCGGAGCCGCGCACCAAGAGGGCATCACTCGAACAAGTGTCGACGCCATTTGTTCCTAGTAGGGTCCTTGCTCCTAGCAGCGACGCCATTTGTTCCTAGTAGCATCCTTGCTCCTAGTAGGGATGCCATTTGCTCCTAGTAGCGGCCTTGCTCCTAGTAGCGATGCCCTTTGTTCCTAGT